CTTAATAGGAGTGGAGACATTGTCAGAAAACACTTCCACTGGGATTTAGCTTGTTGACTTTACCTGAGCATAAAGCATCAGTCATCGGCGTCGCCAGACCCCATTTACTGGGGCACGTGCCCCAGTATAAATGAGCTGTGCCCCAGTATAAATCTCATGAATATTTGCAACAGTATTACATTTTTTTAATGCATCAATTTAGATATTTCTAACGGGAGGAGACGTATATTTCTACTCAAATGCGGAGCAAGTGTGTTGTTAACTCCAAATTGAGGATGTATTAGCGCCCCCACGTCAGCGCATGTCACTGCATGAACTGCAGGTAAATTAACGCGCTGCTCTCAACTGAGTTGGATGGGACACTGTGCGGCCACGACGCATTTTTAGTTCTGGTAATGTTTCTTACCTGTCAATTTTATTATTTTCCCAGTGAAACCAGATGATTTATAGGCTACTAACTGAAAATTACTGCATTGGTTTGTAGATGGATATCAGGAAATTCCTCACACGAAGCAGAGACAGGGAATCAGTAAAACAAGATGAGAGAGGGAGGTAAGGTCCCGTAATGAATTAGTGATTTAATGTAACCAGTTACATTAGGAACGTTATAAGTAATATGATAGATATTTACATAATTATAAATTTACGTTTTTTTTATGTTTGCTGTAGAGAATGAGAATGCAGGTGCTGGAGTAGGAAAGGGAGGAGGAGGCGAGACTGACAGGCAAGAGACAGGTGAAGGACAGGAGAGACAGGACCATGAAGGTGATGAGGATGCAACAACCAGCTTCCACAAACAAGAAGGGGACATTAGTGACTTAGGGGGAAAGCATGATGGTCCTAAACAAGTGAAGTTGTCCCACCATCCCCAGCACAAATTTGGAGTAAAAAAACATTAATTTAATTCAAAATGGTTTGAGCTTTTCCTGGTTAAAAAAGAAAGCCTTGTTATCAAGGATATGCAGTGTGTTTTCAACTTGCTTGATAACATCATATTCCCAACACTAACGCAGGTCATCCAGATCTCCCTCACAATCCCAGTCTACAGCTGGAGTTGTGAAAGGTCTTTCAGTGTGTTGAGAAGGCTCCACACTTGGCTGAGGTGCACAATGGGAAAAGACAGGCTCCATCATCTTGCTATTTTATCAGTTGAAAAGGAAGAACTTTCTAAGCTGAGTCACAAGTGATTGACCACTTTGCAAAAATGATAAATATGAGGTACACTTTAATGTTAAAAAAATAAAAGGAAAACTTAGCTCAGGACGAGTTAAAATTTCCCCCGAACTAAAACTCTGTAACCTAGGAATTAATGATTACATCAGAATGTGTATAAGGAAACTTTTTATTTGTCAAAGTTGTTGATGTCTTATTTTTTATAGCTGCAATGTTGAAAATGTTCATGTTTGTTAAAACAAATATGCTCTTATACTCATTAATATCTCAACTGGTAATTTTGGTAGGAATGTATCAGGGTTGGGCAGTGTGCTTGTCTGTATTTATGTATGGAAGGAGGGGCATATGCGGTAGGGGGCCAGTGCCCCAGTAAAGCTTTGTGCCTAGCAACGCCCCTGGCATCAGTACTTACATAAATCTGTCTCACCATGAGCTCATTGGAAAAAGGTTACCTTTTTTTTTTAGATCTGAAATGCTCCAGATGAATTGTCCATTGTCCTTCAAGCCTGAGCACCATTCTACGCTTTGTGCTCAAGGTAACTGGGCAGAATGTTTGGGGGTCATTGGGCAGAGATCGTTGTCCTTCTGTTGGATGTTCAGGCACAATAAGCCTGTATGAACTATGAGAACAGCAACTTTTGAATAGAGCGTGCCAGAGGATAAATGGGCTTATGCATGCTCCCGCACAGGTCTAATAGGCGTTCCCAATCTGGAGCAAGTACAGGGTTGTGCATGTGCATTTTTTTAAGTTGAGAGGCTGGTTCTTTTAAAAAAAATTGCGAAAATCCACCATAACACTTTTAAGTAAGATCAGTATTTCTATATCATAGGTATCGTTTTTTAATAAACTTTCCTTTAATGTAAGTAATAAAACTGTATGTCTCCTTATCTAGGGAAAATATTTTGCAAGAATCTACAAAGAGGTTTTTGTTAGATGTCTTTATCAAACAAATATTATCTCATAGCAGAAAACAACTTTCACGGAAAGGGCTCCATATCAACAGACAAATCTGCAAAGGTACAATGGAAAGATATGATCACAGTCAGGTTCCAACATTTCTCTGAAGTTTTCCGACCTCTCTCCTGCCATGTTTCCATTCAGCCCTGTGAATGCAATCAGTAAAAAAAAAAAAAAAAAAAAGATATATTTTTGTTCAATTTGCTAAACCCCTGTCACGTAGTGTTGTACCCAGGATACAGAAACATGCAGACAATTAGTTTAGCTGTAAGAGTTTCCTCACTGTCACACAGTGAATAATCCTTGTATGTTTTTCTTTGTCATTAAAGCCGTACACCGAGACACTCCAATTATGTATTATTATTGTAAAATCATGGTACAGTGAGGTTCGAGAAGTAATATTGGTGTTATCACTATTAAATCATTGCAAATTCCATTACATAGTTCTGTTTATATGAGGGAGATAGACTGAATTACATCCTGATGACACCACAGGCCAGGACAAAAAAATCCATCTAAAGAATGAATGAGAAGCTCTACCATGTTGTTGGTATGTCACTATTTAAATTCCTAAATAAGAGCAGATTTATGGACCCAAATTCAATTTGGAACATGCTTAAATGACAGCAAAATATTTTGAAAAGAAATCTTGAATTACTTGGTACCGCTTTTTACCAATTGGCATTAGACCATCCAATAAACACATATCTGCTTTGCCTGTGCTTAGAGCTTTGCAACCACTGACAACATAGAGAGAAAACATTTCCAGCATAATAATTCCAGGGTTTCCACTAAGAAAATCACATTCAACTGTGCCAACTCTTTAATATTATGGATCAGGGTGTCCCTTAATGGAATGAACAAAACAAAACAATCCCAAATCTCCTTAGGAAAAGCTGAAATGATAGGAATTACTTGATTATTGTGCAGAGCTAAACAAAACATATGTAGAGGTCTCTAAGAACTTCCTTAAATGTGTGATAAATAGTGCTGTAGTCAAGACCAAACCAAATGAGCCCAAGGAGTACTGAGACAAGACCAAAACCTTTAGAGGCCAAAGATGAGACAAGACATTTAGAGGAAGAGACCAAAACCATTGATATTGGTCTTGGTCACTAGATGTGTTGGTCTTGTCTGTCTCAGTGTTCCTTGGTCCTCGTTGGTGTGGTCTTAACTGCAACACTGATACATCAGATATTGTGCAGGATGTAAATTAATTGTAACAATGAATGAACAGTCAAGTACCTATATGGTCATAGCAGAAAAATGCATGCTTTTCAAGTTCTGGGTTTTTTTCTTTTCAGGACTGTTAGGTTTATTCTTTATACATCATGTGCATTGTTACTTTGTTAGCCAGATTAGACAGAGTAGAAGGCCTTCCTTCACATGGTGGATGTCACTGTGTGTACAGAGGTCATCTAATCAGGACAGCCTTTGTGACTTTAAAAATACAAAGGATATGGGCACATCTTGGAGACGGACTGATAAAGGAGAGCTATGTGGAATCCTAGGGTAAAGAGGCAAGATGCATAAAGGTCAAGGCATGGAGCTAAGCATCCCCCTGATGCAAATCATGAGGTATAAGAAGGAGGAGATGACCTTGTTCAGGGCTCAATCTTTGCTCAATCTTTGCCGGACACTCACTGACTTTTTTTTTGAGCCCACAGCTGTGCCAACCCTAAGCAGTTTCTCAGTCCTGTAACGACCTGACCTGGAATAATCGCTGTTACTTTTTTACTCCTGTTTTATAGTCCTTTTTTATATGGTTTTACCCAGTTTGAGTTAAGAATAGTAAATAACTTGCTCCCAGGAAAAGACCAGGAAGGGAAGTTCCGAGGCGCAGCTGCCTTCAGAGGGACCTAACTTCCATATTTAACAGGACCGAGGCCTATACAAAAAAGAAAAACAGTATGACTTAACCAAAAATGTATGGGATTGTCATTCATTAATCCACCTTGTCATTAATAAATAAAAAGAGTAAAGATGAAAATAGCTGTTCAGTGGTGCAGTGGGTAGCACCGCAGCCTTGCAGCAAGAAGTTTCTGGGTTTGATTCCCGGCCTGGGGTCTTTCTGCATGGAGTTTGCATGTTGTCCCTGAGCATGCGTGGGTTCTCTCCGGGTACTCCGGCTTCCTCCCACAGTACAAAAACATGACTGTTAGGTTAATTGGCTTCTCTAAAATCTCCTTGTTGTGAGTGTGTGCGTGAATGGCTGTTTGTCCTGTTTGTCTCTGTGTTGCCCTGCGATGGACTGGCGATCTGTCCAGGGTGTAACCCGCCTCTCGCCCATTGACAGCTGGAGATAGGCACCAGCACCCCTCGCAACCCCACTTGGCACAAGCACATCAGATAATGGATGGAAGATGAAAATAGATAGGAGAATTCTAAATTAAGTTCAGCATTGTTGCTTTCATAGAAATTAAGACTGAAGGTCACAGAGGTGCTCCTGTCTCTGTACTTGAATAGGGATTTAGATTTAGTAAGTGCCTCAAGTGCTAATGCTCAATAAAAAGAAGTTACAAAAATAAAAATATGTCTTCTTTTATACAAAATTATTATAAAACAGTTTACATTTTCTAAAATAACATTAATAGTTCACCACTACATAGGAAACAATACTGCAAGGAGCATGAGCTTATATGGAAAATGTCGCCATCTAGTGGTAAAAATCCACATGAAATTTTATAGGCCCACAAAATGTATGAATACGTATTTAATAAAGAAAATAATAACATGAAAGAAAATAATAAAAGAAAATAAGCTCTTCATCTCAGTAGTTGGGAGGAGAAAGTTCCTAATTTGGGTTGGGACGTCTCTACGCGTCCGTTACCATGGCAACAACTACCCGCAACAAGGTAGAGTCAAAGTCTCCTTCCTTCCATTACATATAAGCAGTGACTTTTGATTGATGAATCTGTTCTCTTCTTCATAAAAAGAACTGCTTCGGACATTTTAAGGTGGAACTCGCAATGGCTGGAGAGGGATGCGCGTTTGAGCAAACTTTTTCTTTCACTCCTCTTCCGGCTAAGACCTTCTCTTTCCAACAAGATAAAGACACCTTGAACCTTTTGATGAAATGGTGATCGAAAAAGGTTTTTGTTTGAATTTCTGTCGTTTCTCCGGGTGAGTTGTGTCTAACTGGCTTGTTGGTTTCTCTCAGGTCCATGCTTAGGAGGATCTCGGCTCAGGCTTACAGCTTTGACAGTAACTTTCACCCCTACAGCTGTGAAACGTTTGCCTTGGTAAGACACTTTATATAATGTATACCGACCGCAGTGAAGTTAGTTAGATGTTGGATATCAGATATTCAAGCTCCGTGTAGTTAGCAGCAGGGGCGGAGCAAGATGGGGGGGCCAATCATTGGCCACCCCTACCATTTATTTCCCTCTAATACAGATGGTGGCAGCAGTAATACTCTCAAGTAAAATATTCAAAATATTAAAACTTTTTTTGGTTAATTATACACATCAATATACTAAAATTAAAGATAAGTACAGAATTCATGCTCTTGTCAGAGCTAGATTTTGTCTTATGGGGTAAAGAGAAAATTCTCTGTCTCTGCAAGTCATCTAGGAGTCTTCAGTGAAATCATAGATAAATAACAATTTTAATGATAACTTAATAATAAATTTATGTAGATTTTAGTGCTTGTAAATATAAATTTTATGCAGAATGTTTATTGATATAAGTAGGTAAGTAATGACAATGGATGTGATGACGGGTGTTTAAATATATGCATCTATTTTTTAGCAAAGGCTGTAGAAAAGTATAGTTTTTCTTAATTTAGAAAATATGGATGTTTTGCTTGTTAATTTTCCCGTTGGAACAATATAGACTGACCCTGAGGTTCTGCTGCCTATCCACTTTCGGCCACCCCTCAGTGTTCATTGGTTATTGCCTGGCCACCCTTATAAACATTTTCTGGTTACGCCTCTGGTTAGCAGAGCGGCTGTCCGAAGTCTGAGCTTCTGAATTGGATCAACTGTGAGCTACGGAGCTTGAATATCTAATATACAGTTTCTAACTAACTTCACTGCGGTATTTAACCCTGTGATAAGAGCAAACAGTAGAATAATTACTTATTATATCCAGAATTATTTCCTTTTTAAATAAAAAAAAACATTAAAAATGGCATACTTTTCCATATTCAAATTACATTTTGTCAAGGTTGCGGATGGATGGATGGATGGATGGATGGATGGATGGATGGATGGATGGATGGATGGATGGATGGATGGATGGATGGATGGATGGATGGATGGATGGATGGATGGATGGATGGATCCTGAGTAGTACATACTTATCAAGGAAATATTAATCATGAGGACTTACATACCTTGTGATTAGTCCTCTTCTCTTTTCATGAACACATGAGGTCCAGTTGCCTTCCTTTCGGCACTTAAAAATAATGGCTTGTCAGACCCAAGGACAGACCATTGAATGGATGGATGTATATGGATGGAAAATTAATGGTTATGGATTATGGACAAACAATAGATGGATGAAATAGAAAACTACCTATATGCTTGAAAAAAAATAGAAACTTTTTTCCATATACTCTGCCTTCTTTTTGCATGCTTAATCAGACCTGGAAGACATTTAAATCTGACTTCAGCCTTTTTCCAGATAATATAGCAACCGTGTTGTCTTAAAACATTAGGTACTCTCCATTTTGTTCACCTGCTTTTATCTTTTCAGTATAGCATTACTGTGCTTAATACCATTCTCATTTTTTTTGTTCAGTGTTTCTTTAAAGACCCTAAGGTGATTCACAGTCTGAGAAATATGGAGGACAAACTCCGGGTGCCTCTTGGTACGTCATCCTCAGATATGCTTTTATAAGTGATTGCAGAAAATTGATGGTATCTGCTGTAAAATGTTTGAAGTCGAATCCATATTGAGAGGCTCGTGTGTTGTAGAGAAGCCAGTTGTGTCTGTCAGCGTAGATCTGGTGCCCTGTAATAAGATCTCCATGGAGCTGTTTGATCCAATCTTCTCTTGCGGGATCTTGAGGCCTTCTGGTGATGTAGTTAAATGCTTTCATGATGTCTACCCTGACTTCGATGAACTTCGACAGGTGATCCTTACAGCATTTATTCCATCTGCCTCTTTAAATCTAAATTATTTCTAAGTTTGATGTCAAAGCTGATTTTCTCTTCCAGATGTTACAGGAAGAGGACTCTGAGCACTACTATGTTGTTGGAAAGACGGAACGGAAAGAGTTTCTCTTTTGCCTCTTTAAGCACCTGTGTCTCGGCGGGGAGCTTTGTCAGTATGAGGACAACATTGATCCCTACATTAGCACCACTAAGAAGCTATACAAAGACCTTATAAGGTGAGCACAATTCAGCATTTAAGCTGTTTTATAGGACTTCAAGTTATAAAGATAAAAACAAATGTTTTAAATAGGATATGCTTGTCTTTACATCTTCCATTATTAATCTTTAAATGCTATAAAACCATTAAAATGAACCGTTACACAGTTGGTGCTTCCGTGAGTTAATATTCATAAAGTTACAACAGAAAATATTGATATTAAGTTATAACCTAGCTGCCCTGCCCCACACATTGCTGAATAAACAAGCTAGGCTACAAAATTATTTATATTATTAGAATATTTGTAAATCTAAACTACAGGACTGGACTGGTTGGATGGATGGATGTATGGCTCTAAACTTCCCCATATGTTCTAATCTGTCATGAATGCTTTTATTTTGCAGCGTTCAAAAGGATACAGATACAAGAAAGATCAGTGCGGTGTCCACTGTGCTCAAAGTCAGTGCCTATGTAAGTGACCAGTTTACATAGAATAAGGATATACTTTGGTCTCTCTCTGTAAACCCATAGAAAACCAATTAAGAACCACTACTTATACACTTGAAAGCAATTAAGAAAACAAAGCTTTTAGCGACTGGTTTTCTAACACATTGTTGTTCTTATTCCTCAGGATGAGTCTGGCATTTGTTTTCCTGGGACTCAAGATGAGGAACAAACATTTGCCTACCTGATCGTGGATCCGGTTAAACGAAATGTGACTTTGTTTTACCACATCTTCGGCGTGGGAAAGTTCACACTTTGAGTGCCGAAAAAAAGAAAGACGAGTCAAAAATGTAGCTTAAAAAAAATTAAATTTTCTTTTGTCAAGTGAAGCTACATCCATAAAGGACTTTCTACCTTCCTTCTTAAAACAGGAAGAATAGTCGACCATGCAATGCCTAGAAACCTTTATAAGGTCCTTTTAGTTCCATAGCCAGAAATCTGAAAAATGGCTCAATAAGAGCCCATGCTCAATATAAACATTTTTATTTAAATTGAATTGAGTTTAATAACCTGCTGGTGAATGTGTGTTTAAATACCAAAAACAACTTCTGTTGGAAACATCAAATTAATTTTTTCCCCAGAAGTATGAATTTATTTGTGTCTACAATCACCTGCAAACACATTAACATACCTTAAAGTGTATTAAATTGAATATGTCATGTTAAAGCCTGTAAAAGATTTGGATGAGGTGATCACAGCTGACTAGTTAAGTGTCTCATAGTGTAATGGAAAAATCAGAGACCCAGAGCAACAAACAGTCCAAAGAGCTTTATTGAAACAAATAAATTAATAAGTTAGTTTTCTAAAAAAATTTCTCAGCAGAAACACATTTTTGTACCTCTTTTAAAAGATCATATAGATTAGATTAGAAAACAAACCATCATTGCATTTTATTCAGCCAACTGCCCCTGTTTCTTGGACTAGGAAGACTTTGTGATGAGTTTTCGTTTTTCTTATTGCTTGTTCAGTTCGTGCTTTATTCTAACAGCAGCTTCAAGACCTACAGTAGGAAAGCAGCTAAAAGAGTAATGAGGTGGAATGTCGAATGGCAGCAAGTCAGTGAAAAGATGGACGGATGATGCGACGTCATAAATAGATAAGAGAACGTGCAGATTGGTTCATGCATAGCATTCAGTCAGTTGGACAATCCCTAACTGTTTCTCCTAATCGGGTCTCTAAACTAGTGCCCCCTAGTGGCCTCAGAGGTAGTTGTGTGGAAGCCAATCTTAACTAATGTGACATGCTTATTACAGCACACATGCCTGCAGAGATTTCTGTGTCGACAAAAATGTCCATGCCTCCAACCTCCACATTGAAGGGTGTTAAAGATACCCTATTGATGTCTATGAAGGTATGATGATATGCTGACAATACAGTATTATCATCACAATATATCTCAGAAAAATATACATCAGTTGTAACAGATTAAATCTTCACAACAATGATTTTTTTTGTCAAGGGATGGGCAAAAAATAAATAAATAAATAAATAAAAAAGCTTTTTGTGTGTTTTTTCTAAGACACTGACCTCTTTTAAATATTTCCAATCTTTTTTTTTTAAGGAGAAAGAAAGCCACGCTACACCATTTATAGAATAAGGGGAAGAAGGCACAAGTTATTTGTTTTGATCTTCTTTCCGGAATACATTATTGTAGGATATTTTCCTAATAAAGGGCAACATAAGGAACAACATGCAATACAGTGATCTTCCATTAATCCCGATGATGCTCTACATTCTAGTAAACAATCACATTGCAGAACTGTTCATTATAAAACTGCCTCCTATAAACAGGCATCTCTTCAAATCCCGAGAAATAAAGCTATCCAAGACCTTTACATTGAAATGAACAGAAATCTTGAATGGTGCCTCGAGATATCTAAACAGGCAGAGTGATAAAGTACATTCACTGCTTTAAAGCATGAATTCAGTGGAATAGTGGAGCACCTGAGTCAGCTGGGCCCGACTGGAGATGGAAAAGTTTCATATTAGACTAAATCATAATAATGGAGGGTTTCTGTGTGTGTTTTAACTGTTGCATACAGGAAACCTGTGCAACATTAACTATGACATCAATGTCCATGGATGAATGAGTGTGAATCCTTATAGTTCTGTAAAAAATGCTGCATTTACGTCAAAGGAAAAAACATAAATTCAAATTCAACCTTTGCATCACCAACCACAAGACTTTAAAAAAAAGAAAACATTCATAAAATAAAATGGGAATAATTAAAGGAAGGAAAATTAGCACATGAATTCTAAATTTAGCACAAAGAAAATGGTGTTCCTTTAATCAAGTGCTAAAGTAGATTAAGTAAAGGAGTTGCTTTCAATGCTCATGTTTGTCTGTATGCCTTACTGTTTATCAACATAAAGATTCTGTTAGAGTTTGATAGTGAACAGCACACTGTTGGTTATGAAGCATCTTGGCACGTGCATTAATGAGAATAACAATCTGGATAAAAGAAAGGTTAAAGACATATTAGTGCTGGAAAAACAGTGCAGTAAATGTCTAAATTCGGTTTTTTGAAACTGATTTTGAGCTTAAAGGCAGGAAAGAGGATTCTGTGCTGGAAGATATGTCCAACGGCTGTTTGTGTATTTTTTTAATCGTGCGCATGCGTCAGTGCTCCCACCTCTGCCGTACGCAGTTAATCACCTCTTTTTGAACTAGCCGCATATAGCAGATAAACTAGGCTACCAACAGGGAACGCAGGCTGAATATTCTTTGTTGTCAACATATCACTGTACGCGTTTTTGACTTTACATTTTCCATAATTTAAAAATGTTACAGTACTTACTACAGAATTAAATAGAATTTACCTGTCCAGCAGAAGTTTTACATCCGTTTTCAGACCCTTTTGCTCCTTTAGGCCAACTCTGAAAAGAATCTGTTAAACACACTTAGCCGGCTCCGTTCTCTCCCACTTTCTCTCCACTTTTTGAGTACATTGAAAAAAGGCTTTCTTTTCCGGTTAGGTACATTAGGATTTTTTTTGGCCATTGATGCTCAAGTTTACACAAAAGGACAAATAACTCAAAAAAAGCCACAGGAGCAAGCAAGCGTAGGAGTACTGTACTTCTTCGTGCTTTGGCGTAATGACAGATGGCTAGTCAAACAGCGTATAGTGTAACTAAAGTACTGGGGACATAGATGCAAATGTTTGATTGACAAACACATAGCCTGTCCACTTTCAACAGTAGGGGACGGGGACCATAAGTGCAAGAATGCCATCCATCGATTAAGTAATTTTAGATTCCTCTGGAAATTTTATTTCTGAGAAAATCCTCTTTCATACCTTTAAATGGATAATCACAATTTTTATTTTTTTGTAATTGAGTTTCTCTAACAATTAACAAAACGTATCTTAGTTCCAACTGGTTCAACGTTCTTTTGAAATCTCTATAGAATAAATCCAGATTTATTGGACCCAAAGGCTAAAGCTCATGGTATTCCAAGATGGCAGAAAAACCAAAACAGAAGTTGTTTTTAAACTAGCAGAACACAAATAGCTCCTCAGATTGGCGATCAGACACATAAGAACTTTTCTTTTTCTAGGCCACTTCGACACGTCCTTGCCAGATTTTAGATTCAGTCAAAATAACTCTCAAAAAGTCTAAAACATGGGAAAAATTTAACATTACGAGGTTGGAACTTTTAAATAAATTCAGGTTAACTCATAACTTCAAATTTTGATTAATCACAGAGTTAAACCCTAAAGGTAAATGCTGTTTTATAAATAATATGATTAAGCCCTCAAAATAGTTAAAAGGTGATTTAGTGATTAGATTTCTCTTATAAGTATAAACTAAAAAGAACAGGATTTAACACTGGTTGTAGAACTGGTCACCCTAAAGCAGCTTCTGATTAGTTTATCAGTCACTGGTGCTGTCTGCTGGAGCTGAATTAAAGATTGAGTGAAAGAGAGGTTCTCAATTAGAGAGGACTGATCCAAAACGTTAAAATGTTTCTGATAGGATTTTACATGCGCCTACTTCTATATAAAGTTTTACTAGACTGTTAATTTTTAAATATGTCCTAAGTCCCTTTTTTAACCCAGACATATTCATATCCCAATCAGAATTGATCTTTTTAATTTATCAATGTTTTCTAAACAGGAACCTGTGGAGGGAGCTAAAGATTAGGTTAATAACAAGGGTGGATCATCAAAATACCAGCAGAAGTGAATTAAATCAGATTACATGAAAGATTTGATCGATGTATTACCAGCTAAGTTTTTCCTCTATTTAGAGGAGTGTATACATTTTTAATTAAAATTAAAAACTAATAAAATCTTTCCTCTTGAACTTATACTTTTTTATATTGTTTTACATTTTTTTTGGGAGATGATTGATGCATTCCATGTGAAACCTAGACATGTTTGTTCAATGAAAATCATTTTTAAACTCAGTCAAATGGGTATTAAATCATTTTGGGCTTTACTGTAGTCAGCCAGGAATCTCTCAGCCATCAAGCAAACTGTGCCAGAACTGAAAGCCCGTTGGTGTTAGCTGACCTTCTGTTCAAAACAACAACTGTTTGCAGCTATGAGACGGTATTTAGAACCACACACCTTTATTATCCAAATACCTTCCTGTGTAAAACAACATCCCCATTTAGAACCCGTTTATAGCTTGGTTCCAAATTAATCACAGCGCCAAGAATGATGTTTCCACTCTAGTGACAAAATGGAAAAGATATAAATTTTTGATCCTTGGCTGATTCTAGCCTAAACTTGTTAGACTATGTATTTTGCATATGTATCAGTTAGAAATCATAATAGTAATAAGCCATCTTTACATTATTTGTGGTGGTTCTGGTGTGTATGATACAAAAATTAGAAATCCTTATTCTTGGTGGGGAGGGGGGGGGGTTCTTTTTTTTTCTTTTCTTCAAAGGTCAAACTCAAATAAAATAATAAATTTCATCTTATAAGTTCAAATATAATGTATTGACTTTACTGTATAGATCCTAGTTTTTTAAGTAAATTTAATTCCTTATTCAACTCCTTTCTAGCACTCTGTTCATTTTTAGCCCCTTTTTCAAATTATTCCTGTTTGTGTTGTTAAAAACAATTCCAAAAAAAGAAAACTATATTTAAATATACGACCGATATCGATTTAGGCATTTTCAAGGCAAATTAGCAAAAAGGCAGATATTCTGCTCTAGCTTCTGGGTCCAAAGATCTACATTAATCCTAAACAAAGACACAGGGAGAGCGTTATTTTGAAGATATAATAAACTTTTAGTGATATTTTAGCAGAACGTCTTTTGGAAGATTCTATCTTTTTCCTTTAAAGGCAAGCCCAATGAATGAATATAGCAGTAGTGTGGGCTGCAAGACATGAGCATCTAGAGATTTGTTAAATAAACTTGAATAAATTGGGGCACTAATAGCTTATTGTTTGCACAAAGGTCTTGAAAAGTTTTGACAATTAAAATGTAACACAGTGGTCTATTAAGTCCTACATAATCCTCGATATAACGCCGTCTTAGCTGGAAACAATGCGTCTTTCTTTTCTTTTTTTTTTGCAGTTGGGCTTGTTGTAGACCAGAAGTAAAAACAAACAGAAATTTACACTAAAGTAGCTTACGCTAAAGTCTAGCTCCACAGTCAATCCAGCTGTTTATTTTCACTTAGTTCTAATGTGAAACATTTCGGTGATTAATGTAGGATTTGGAAAACAGAATTTCCCTTGTTTGGATGGGACCTTGAGCTGGTGAAGATAAGCCAGGTCCAAATGTGCACTTTCTTCCCGTGTTTATGGCTCTTGTTTGTGTTTTTAAGTTTATCTTGCACAAAAAAAAGCTACATTCATCACAGTATGAAGAACTGTGTTGTCACCCAAATAGCTGAATGGCAATGTTTCTTAAATGACATTCCATCATTTCAAGAGCCTAAGAGAAAAAAGGATAAAACAGAGGAAGGAGAAGATCCCTCCAAATATTTTTGAAAACTTCCTTCCACAGTCCACTATTGATGTTTTAAAGTACGAACAGATACAGCATGATGTGAGTGGGTGAAACAGCTTCAGTAGTCAAGTAGTTTCCTCATCAAGTGAGTTGAGAGGCGTGTGTGGTGAGCAGCTTTGACTGAGGCTCCTCGTTAGCTAGAGCCACCTGGTGGTCATTGTCTGATTAGCTTCACAGACTCCAGGAAGAAGGATTATGGAGATTTGAGATTAGGAAGGCAAAACAGGATAAATTTGAATTGAAGAGGAAGTCTGTTATGTTGGGCTGCTCAGAGGCAGGGCTCAGCCTTAGGAGGACATACTGTAAAGGGTTAGTTTCTGTGTCCTGACATCTGATTCATTGTCATTCCAAGTTCCCACTGTCAGACTGAGAGATGTTGAGCGTGTTAGCAGAGGGGAAGAGGTCTCTTTGGTCTGTGGGGCTGTGGTAGTCAGATGTCAGGTCGGGGTCCAGAAGGGAGGACAGTGTGACGTGGGAAGAGCCTTTCTTTAAGCACTGGGAGTAGAAGTTAAGCATGAGGTCCAGCTTGTTTTCAATAGACTGTACCTAAACAAATGCAGACCGATACCGAATTTATGATTTCATTTCACACAGATTCTTCAAGTAGTGTCGTTTTGATGGTACCTGCTTCTCCACTTTGACCACACGGCCCATCATGCTGAGCTCATCCAGCGGGTCCAGCTCTGGAGGCGTCTTCTCTCCTTTTTCAGGACGTGCTTTCTTATCAGGCTGAACAGGTCCTCGGCCAATTATCTGATCCACCCTTTTACACAGACAGATAACTCTTTCATCCAATACTTTTCTTTCTTACCTTATCCTATCCTTTTTCAGTCTTACCTTATCCTACCCCTGAATTTACCAGTGCAATTAAAATTTCTAAGGTCAGAAACCATGCATTCTGGTAATTATCACATCTCTGACAGTGTTGTAGTTAAGACCCCATAAGGCAAGACCAAGTCAAGGCCTTTTATTCAAAGATGTTATGTTTTCTGCAAGAATTCTGTTCTAATTAAAAATAATAAGTCAGCATTTGCCTTTATTTCCTGTTCTAGATGCCAAATGTAGCATCATTCCTTAAGTTCAGTTGGGGGCCACATATATGCTGGAAACTAAAATCTGTGCAGGTGCTGGAAACTGCCACCGGGCAGCACTTTAGACACTCCCAGTTTGGCTGATTTACAAAAATGTTTCGTTCGTCTGATCTAATCAGATCTGCTCCTTCCACGTTTGGTGGAAAAAACATTTCTCTCTTTTTTATGAAACCTAAAGTAGTGCATTACGGTTTGTAATATTACAGAAGCTACAGGGATGTTAACACTTTACAAGTCATTGTAAGCAGTATGCTACTGCATTTAGGCTTTGTTTAGGTGTATAATTATAGTGTTATGGGTTATAGTTCATCTCTATTTTCAACCTAAATTAGGAACTTTTAAAGAAAAATTAATTTCAAGTACTGAAATGTTAAAAAAATTTGAGCCAGAACATTCTAAGTATTTATAATCGTTGTATTTTTAAAGGAACGCAGTGTAACTTGTGGCCACTAGGGGCACTAGACCTGTAACTTTAATGTCTAGCGCCCTTATTGGCCACAAGTGCCGCAGTACCATTGCTAAACTTAACAGTCAGCCGGCCAGCCTCCCATGTGTTTTGATTGAGGACCGCACTAGGCATCTAGGTTTAGCTCAGAGGGCTGGAGAAATGCTGCTGCTCTATGGAGAGCAGGGCGGGACAGGCCGAACTGTGCCGCATGGCACAGAGGACTAGCGGCGTTCTTCCAGGTCACATGACCTGGTCAATGATCGTGCGTCTTCTCTCAACTTACATAGGCAGTATTTCAAAAGAGGAGCTCCACTCGTCACATTGATAGTGTCAGGCGCTATATTGGTATGAGGAATCATTTAAAATAACTCATAAGCGTCAAGTCTTTAGATCACAAAGTGTTAAAGGCACACAAATGTATCATAACAGAGTTTTATAGCTCAGATTTAAAGATATTGACTCGTGTTATGTGAAGATTAAGGTACCTAATTTGCAAGCTCTTGATACGGCCCAGCATGTCCAGGTGTCCTGCAGAGTACTGCTCTATGACATCCTTCACATCGTATGGACGGAGAGTCTCCTTAAACTTCCTCTTTGCAACAAGGAACTTCAGTATCCTGCACACACAAACACAACACCACTCTTATTCTTTTTTAACCTTTCTGAACAGAGTTTTAAACAGAACAGGAAGCTCACAGTAGAACTGTAAACCTTTAGAAAAATGCCGAAGCAGGAGGCTATGAAATAATGCAGGCCACCCTGAGAATAACAAGATTAATTAAAGTCAGCATGACGTTATCATTCACCAACAGGCCCATAAAGAAAGCAGTCACAAACCTACTAAACCATGTGGATATATTGAAACGATGAGCGCTTCTGCAAGAGACATTTTCTAATCGGGATTTGCTGTTTCAGCAATTAGCACCATTCCACGAATAGGATATCACACACACCTCTATTCTATCCACAGTTTCTGCTCTTTTGTCATTGTGACAGCTGTGTCGAGAGCCACTGGTAGACCACAGCTGCTCCCAGTTCCCCATGCACACTGCTCATAATCACCACCCTCACACTAGTGTGGGGGAGTCTCACCCAGAATACACCACTGTACCAGGTAAAACATCACTCACAACCTGCTCTGGCAGTGGGGTTCTGCCAAAAGGTCATGCAGGAGGAGGTAAAGCTTGTAGAAGAGATAAAAAAATCATTTTAGAAAAAGCTGAGACCCTTTTAAGAATGCCTGTTTCTTTTTATTTTATTTCTATGTAAGGCTGGTATCATGTTTTTACAGAATGGGAATACTAAGCTGTGGTCTCCTTCTCCATTGACTTGGTAATAAGAGAGAAGAAAACTGTTACTGAGCTACAGTAGCTTCTGTCTCTGTTGTAAAATACATTACAAAAAAAATATATCTCATGAATCAATAAATATAAAAACACTGTATTTAAATTCCTAGTGCAAGCACATTCATTAACTTTAAAATAAGTCATAGCCCTGGCACTATTACAGTGTACAATACTAACGGTAATGCCAGGTGATGTACAGTAGAAGGAGTGCTGGCAATTCCTGGAAGGTGAAGGAATTGAGACCATTGACCGGCCTTCATGTTCCGCAGACATAAATCCAATAGAACGTCTTTGTTTAGTTCCATCTGCCACCCTTGTCACCTAAGACAACATGAGCTCTGTGATGTTCTGGTCAGGATCCTATAAAGACCATTTAAACAAGCATTTGGGGAAAATGCAAAATCCTGAGTACCACTTTGAGTTTGATGATATTTTTGCAAACTGGACAAGTCTTCCATATTAGTTTTTCAGTTTGACTTTCTTTGTGATTCCACAAATGATCCACAAATGATCCACAATGATTGTGATTCCAGGCTAACCCACAAAGGGGTTAGCCTGGAATCACAATCCTTGGGTATTCATTCCTACCCAAGGATGTGGTATTCTTTACTTCCTTCCTTACCGTGCGTATTCCAGAGCAGTATGGATATTCAGCAAGATTTTGTTTGTTTATTTGTGTTCTTAAAGTTTTGTTTTTATATATTTGAACGGTATATATGGCCTTTATGGAAGTATGAAAAGAAGTAGGCCATTAATGAAAAAAAAAAAAAACACCAGGAGGACTATAATTTGCATTTTACTACAAATCATGTGGAGAACATATGGAAGAATGTAGCTTGCTCCGCTGAGACCAAAACTGAACATATTGGGTCTGCGTGCAAAAGACCATGAAGGTTTTCTGCATATCATTTTCTTCCACCACAAAATAAAGACCTTGTGTTGATCTATTGAATAGAAAACCATTAAAAGGCACAATGTTTGTGGTGTTAGCACTATAAATGGTGCTCTATGTATTGTTTCTTTTAACTATGACTACCAATACTAGTTAATGTCTTGGGTTTTGTTTTATTTATTTATTTTTTCCATTATTTTTTATTTTATTTTTTTAGGTTTGTTCAAAATGTTTGAGATTCCCTTTTCGAGACTCCAAAAAAAAAGACCTACAGGTATCAAAGTTACCTTGTACCTTTTAATGCAGCAAATTTAAAAATGTCATCAAATGACAATGCATCTAAAATGTGTTGAAATTTAGCTGATGAGTAATAAATATAAAGATTAATAGTCTTCCAACAACAAATTCATGTAAACCAGCACTAGGATAACCTATAAAGAGAATAACTTTTGAATTAATCAGGAAAATGTGAAGAAAGGGGAGGAGCTAATGGTGACCTGCAGGCGTCATAATCCTTCTCCATGCGCAGCACTTGGCTTCTTGATGACTTATGCGCTTGGGGTATTTTTTGCAAGCCGCCTTTTCTTAATTTGCAAGTAGGCGCAGATTTTATTCTTTTTTTTTTTTTGCCAATGTGGGTCTCAGGTGTAGGTTAATAAAAAGATTGAAAGGGAATGAGGGGGGTTTTATATCCTCTAAGGGTTTCTTTAAAATGCTGACTCTCCTTCCTGGTCACTAAAATGGCTTTGATAACACAGAGTCAGGTTTCAGCGCCCCCACCCTTTTCCAGATCATTTCCAGCCACTGCGCAACACCGTTGGCGTGGCTTACTAAAAGATATTACTTTTAGTAAGTCATACTTTTCGGTGCTAGGAAGTTGAAATGTAAGAAAAACACAGGGATGACTGGGGACCGAGGAAGTGTCAGGAAGAGCCCAAAATGCTTGCAAAGCCCCAGCAAACATTTCTGCAATTCAGCAAAGGTGATACCCAGATATTCTCCAATGGCATGTTTTAGCTGGGAATTAAAAATGACTGTTTTGCTGACATGTACCCAAGGTGGGCCAAGACGAATGAGCCACTGCAGGAGCAGGTTTGAGTCTTTCTAGATATAACTATGTGCCCGCCACAGTCAGTGACAAAAGCTAGTCTATGAGTTGAAATATATATCTACAACAAATTCATTAAAAACATGAAAATAATAGATGTATTAAAATTTTGATGCAGAAAGCTAAAAAAAAACAAAAAACAAATGAAATCAGATCACTATAAATGGAAGTGTCCAAATTATTTATCTATTAAAGCAGGCACTTCATCAAAGACTGCAAGCTTGCAAGAATTTGTTACACAGCATCACATTTTGGCACGTGGGGAGTTGCAGTAGAGGGGCACTCAGGCTTTGTTTTCTTCTTCTTCTTCTCTCTTAATACATTAACACAGCACCATGCACATTTATATAAGCGGTCCGGCACTGATAAACCACAAGCATCTAAAGTGAAGGCTCAGCAATAAAACCTGTGTTTCCCTAACATCAATCATGAGCCGTGCTGAGATGATGCAAACGTACCGGTATGTTAACACAGTGAAAACACCTGCTGTTTACACACCTGCACTATCTATAGGAACTCCCTCCCTCCTATTGTCTGCAGCACAGAGCAGCTGAGGTTAGAGTTATCTGCTGAGTCAAGCACAAACCTGAGAAGACAGCGCTATGCCCCATCAGTAGCATTACACTGTCACACAGTCAAACATGTTAGTACATACTACAAAATACAAAACATATCTGGACAAAAGCTTTTCTACAATTGATAAACAAATTATATTATTAGAAATCTGCTTGAATTTAGCCAAAGAAAAGTAAAATCAGGTATGGAGTGACCACAGGTCTTTAAACAATTACATATTAAACCAAAAACTGTAGCGTTTAGGTGAAAGGTGAAACACTAGGTTAAGACATCTTTATGAAGTGCAACGAAATGCAAACATTACAACTGGAGCATCCTGTGAGGAGCTCCATTGGAACATTTTACGAAATTTAAATGATGCAGAAAACCTATAAATCAGAAAAACTAAAGGGGTTTTGTTGTGAAGTATAGATCCTACCAAAGCATTCTGGGACTATCTTAAAAACTCACTTATGTTCATGAACAAGGTCATTCTTCCAAGGGCATCTACAAATGTAGAGCTCCTTAGACAGGTTCGTAGTACCTTGAGAAATACAGTCAGGCTCCAGTGCTGACATCAGGGAGCTGGAAACAGAGGTATTGTAAACTGCTTTCATCAACCCCCCCAGGAGTACAGCTCCGCCCAAGCACCAGATGTTTGCTAGCAATTGTAGTTTTTCTGCCACCATCAGTGAAAAAAATTTCATCCAGGTAATCTGAGAGAGTGTGCATGTTGGATGGTGTGGCAAGTCTGTGCTAATGCTTGCGACTTCTTGGAATTATCTGTTTAATACATAAAAATGAAAAAAAAAAAACATCAGACAGAGATTAGGACACGATTTTTTTTTTTTGTTTTTTTTTTTTTTTTTTTAGGAAAAACAGATCAGCATGGATGAATCATTTGGGTTGGTGGCTCATTTCAGTGCTACTGTAAATAGGTCAAACTATGGTTGTGCATAGTTTAACCTATTTGTGCAAAATCTAAACCATCTCTGATCTCTGAGACCTGCACCCTGAATGCACCATGGAGCGTAATCAAAGATCTTTCCTCCCAGCAGCTGTAAGACTTTATAACCATCATTGTTCCCAACAACCTTAAACTTATATTAATGCTGATTTTTGCACAGTTTCTGTCTTAGTTAAATAACATGCTGCTGTCATCTCTGCTGTCAACATGCTGCACATTTCTGCTGAGCTATCTCTTTTGTTATGCTGCTAGAGGCGTACGCTTCTGGAGGACATAGGGACCCCTTTTTCATCATTCTATCTCTGTTCTCCCACTCTGCAGTATTTGATAGCTCAATCTCTAACCTTATGCCATCTCTGTTTTTCCTCATAGTAGCTTCATCTGGCCTGTTCCTGTTAGGCCGTGACAAAACAGGAACAGGCCAGAGGAAGAGAGAAATATCAGCTGTGCTGCTGCCATAAATTTTATATAGATGTTTGAGATCAGCCTGTTTTTCAGTGTAGTCCAGTTTCTCTGACTCTGACTGGCTGGATGTTCTCTCTTTACCCTCTGACATGGGAGCTGGCTCGGAGCTCGTCTGCCTGGCTGTGTGTTTCCTGGACGGGGTCGTCTTTCACAGTTGCCTTTATTATTTCTGCTTCTGTCTCCTTGAACCCCTGTCAGCCTCAGCAGATGGCCGCTCACATTGAGCCTGGTTCTGCTGGAGGTTTCTTCCTGTTAAAAGGGGGTTCTTCCTCTCCACTGTTCCTACATGCATGTTTAGTGTGAGGGATTGCCTTCGAGTCAATGAGTCGATGCAATCAACTGGTTTTCCTTAGATAGAAAACCTTGAATCAATCTGACTGTATGATTTAGTGAACTGTAAAGGGCCTTGAGATGACATGTGTTGCAAATATAAATAAACTAAATTGAATTTCACATATCCATTACAGTAAAAATATTTATTCTTCAGATGCACAGTATTTATATTGTATAAACACTATACAGTACAATATTTTATATTTTCTTAACTCTGTCGCTTATTCTGTAATTTTTATAAACTTTTCTGTGGTCCACGTTATGGGACCGCTTTTGCTATCACCTTTTTCTGCTGCAGTAACTCCACGATTTACCCAATTGTGGGACAACAAAAGGAATTTTCCATTCTATTTTTTTAACTATCATAGATTTTAAAGAGGCCAAAATGCAACATATCAGCTCTGCAAAGCCAAAGGGTTTCTCAGGGGACTGTTTTTGTGTTGATATCAACATCTTGAATATCGCTGAGAAGAAAATTGGTTAACAGAAGAGAGTATAAAAGTGCTGTTCTCATCAGTAACATTTGACATAAATGCTTGGAATGATTTGCTGCCAAATTCATGTGAAGGCAGATTCATTACAAGCTAGCAGACCTTTGATTTCTTTGCAAAAAGTCAATGATTGCCTTCTGTAATGGCTTTCCGTGCAGTTTCTTTTAAATATTTCCCTGTCAAAGAGGCTTAAACCTTATTTGAAGCAAGATGATAATCTGAAGAAATCCACCAACATCCAATAACTACAACTAAAGCTCAAGTACTTGGAAACATGAAGAAATTTGGAGTAAAAAATAACTACAATGTCTTGATTTAACTCTGAAAGATAGGTAAACTTTATGCATGTAATGTATTCTGTAATCTAGCAATATGTTATGTCTTATAGGTTGAAAGGGAATATATCATCACATAATGCTGTAGAAAAGGCTGCTATTACCTTTATAGAACTATTTTGGCAGATCGTATGGCAGACAAAACATCTCAAAAGGAAACACATCATGTCATGATCTGGCCTGATTCCTCAACCTTAAATGTTTATTTATTTATTTCACCTGCCATTTTCCCTCCCTGCTGTAATTATCATTTATTCCTTTCCCCTGTTTCCTTTTCTTTATATTCAGTTCAGCCTGAGCGTTCGGGTCCAGATTATTATTAGTTTCTCTGTTAGTCCCTCTGTTCAGTTGTATTTTAGTTTACTCCACGGTTCATGTCCTGGTCTGGATCCTGGCGGCCACAGGAAAGAGTGTTTGCAGCGAGCCACAAATCCTCAGCAGCTCCACTTTTGTTGCGTCTGTTTATGTTTTTATTTCAATAAACATTTTTCCAGTTTCCTACTGGCTGTCTCACCTTGAATACTGGGTTCATCTGTCCCTCTTCATGACACATGACCTTAAGAAAGTGTTGGTACTACAGCAAACCATGATGGAGGATCATGTTGGATAAAAATATTCTTTAAAAAAAACCTTTCATGCAACTCTTTCTCACCGGCTGTACACTTCTAATTCAATTGTTATATTTACTGGGTAAATTAAGAACTATTATTGTATTTATATCATAGGGTGGTTTATTTTTACATTTTTGTATTTACAAAAACTGTCCTTGAGTGGCATACTCCAGCATTGCTTCCATTTCAGGAAGAGATACTACAATATCAGAAACTGGCTTAAATATCTTAAAAGCCCTTAATCAAAATGTGCTACAGTTGACCTTGTCAGAGCGGTAAAACATAATTTCCCTTTCAGCCATATTATATTGTGATCCATCTAGATACTGTTTTCATCTGTGTCTTTTTGTGTTTATGTATATTTGCTAATAAGCATCCCCATCACACCATCAACATGTGACCAACTGCAGCCTGCTAGGCTCACTGACTGACAAGGTCACATGGGGAAACTAACCATGCCTGCAGTAGATCTGTTACCTTAAAGTGGACACTTCTGCTTGATCAGCTAAATGTTAGTTACACTATATACGTTTCTTTTTTCTTTTTTTTTGGCCTGTATAAACATGAGCATGCTTAATGTGATTGTTTATGACTAAAACCACACTTTTTGCTGTGGATGCAGCAATTCAAAACATTCTACTGTATGTTCACCTACTTAGGAAGCAGCCAGCTCGCTTGGAATGGATGGAAGCGTAAGGATGCAGTTTGCTCTGACAGAGGCTAAACAGCTTAATCATGGCTTAGAGATCAAGACAAGTTAAATAACAATAAGAATGTGACAAAGAAACAGCTACAAAGGTTCTTTTTCCCCACAAGTGCTCCTCCTTACATTCATACCTTGAATTTTGTTAACACCAGTGACTACATACAAAACGGCTACTTTTGTTGTTATCAGCCCATTAAATGACAGTTGAAAGCTTAAGTTCTGATTTAAAATCTAAAGCAGGAAAAGAAGCAAAGATGTTGATTACCATGGAAACTAAATAAAGCAGAAAACAGACACTGCTGACCAAGTGCTACTTGTAGGTCAACAAAACTGACAACTGTCTTGAGATTTGTCAAAACAGCTTTCAGATTAGATAATCTCTTATTGTGAACCTAAAGATGAGAGTCAAGACGGCAGATAAATTAGGGTTGAAAGCATCCCCTTGGTTAAAGGACCCACCTGACAGCTCGTATAAGCGTCTTCACTGCTGGAATCACCTCGTCCATGGCCACATCACAATATGACTTGTCTTCCACGCTTTCCTCTCCCAATCCCTCCACTGACGTGCATGAGTAGAAGACAACCATTAACACATTTATTGTAAGCTCTGAAAATATGTGCAATATCAGCTTACCATCAATAGGTGGACGTGGCTTGAGGCGAAGGGAGGTGCGGAAACGAGTGCGGTCGTTAAAGCTCCAGCTCTTTTGGACCTTTCCAGGGCTGGTGGCTTCAGGTACGTTCTCCTGGCTGGGGGAGCGGCGAACACCGGAGCCGGGGGGCAGAGGTGAGGCTTTGTTTCGGATAGTTTGGGATGAACGGGAGTTGTTCATCCGGATCCGATCCCGAAAGCCCATTTTACTGCTGACAGTGAGGTTAAAGTAGTTAAATAGATGGAGACATGTTGGTATTCTTGGAAAATGGCAGGCATTCAATCTTCTCTTTCTGGTGTGGATTTCTCAGTCAGCGAGGAAAAGAGGAGCTCTCAGTGCTTGAACAGAAGACAACTGGATATCCTTTTCTAGTTCCTTTAAGAAGTTTGGCTTGTATATTTCTACTTGTCAACAGGAAATGTCAAAACTATCTGTCACTGCTAAGAGAATCTGAAAAGCTGGGATTGCTTGCCCATGATCAGAGCTAAATCGGCATTTTGTTGATGTGAAAATCAATTAAATGACACCAGGTGTCTTTTATTCAAACAGCAGTCTGCTTTGGTTTCATTGCGCTAAAACACCTTTGGGGTTAAGAGCAGCATCACACCATGTGGAAAATAGGTGGCATTTGGAAAACAGCAGAATGACAACCTAATTCTGTTAGAAAAGAGTTTGTTAGTAGAGAAGAGGAAACAGAAAAAACTTGGGTTCTTGTTATACCAGTCACTAAAATGATGAAACTGACAAAACAAGGAAACAAAGATTTACATTAAGCGAAGGTCAGAACAGCTGAATTAAAGAGAACCTCTGTGCAATAATAACCGTTTCTGCCCTTAGGAATGCCCTGTTATCTCTGTCTTTGCCCCTGAATCAGCAAAATACAAATAAAGACTACAACTAAGGTGCTTGAACAGCAAAAAAAAAATGGTTTTGCAAATATCACAGAAACCACCTTAATCCCCTCAGCAAACTGTATAGGTATGAGAACATTGGCTTCAAAGGGCAGCAATACAAAAGGCATTTTTAAACACTCAGTACCAATCACCACAAGCCAAGTCAGGCTATTTGAGGTCAACCGCTTACAAGAGGAAAGCTATTTGGCAGGCTGGCTCTACAAAAGATTGACTCCTAACATTGCCAGTAAAGCTGCTCTTGTGGAGATCTCCCACTCAGCAGCTGCTTAGAGGTTATATACTATCACGGATCCATGGGCAGAGCTACTGTCATGCACCGCAGAGAAGTAAGTGCCAGGTCGTTTACTTTCACATCTTTTCAGATGGTTTACTCTTTGCCTGGCGTATGATACACATAAGCAGGCTATTTGAATTAGAAATCAAATAGCAAGAGTATATTTAGTGGAGGCAGCATTTCATACAAACAGTAATAAAATGGGAATGTGGGGGGTAGCATGAAAGACCTTTGCATGCCATACATGGAAAAGAAGCGGATGCTCCTGGAGCATCGGAAACCATACATTTCTCAGCAGCACATCGAGAGAACAGTGCATGCAAACTGGATCACCTTCAATCTGTAGAAGCACAACACAAAGGTGTTGATTTGATTGAGAGATGTGTCTGATTTGAAAAGGAAGAGCATGCACACAAGTGTCAACTGTTTTCCAGAAAAATAAATATAAAGTAGCAAAACAAGGGTTTTCCTTGTGAAAATTTTAATACTATCACAGACCTTCGGCGAGAGGAAAATTCAGGTTACTGAAAATGTAAACACTGCCCTGCAATAGTATCCATAACCCATATTGTTACATTACAGCCATAAGCCTGTGATTTTTGTGATAGACCAATAGCAACTTGCTTGGACTGAAATTGGGAAACATAAGGAGCGTCTTTGTATTTAATATATTTAAAGCATGGTTGGATTACAAAATAATCCTAAAAGGCTTAATCTTTGTGTTTTCATCAAAAGCATGACTACAAAGAATTGGCCTACACCTAAAGTGACTATCTGGGTGAGGGCAGCATTACTAGGGCAACCAAGAGGCTCAAAGTTATGCTGGAAAGCCAGCAGAGATCCACACCTTAGAAGACCCGTTCTTGTCAAAAGGACAGAAAGGGTCTGTCCTGTTGACCTAAATTGAACATTTTTTTTTTTACTAAATCTATTTAACTATAGGAGGTGTGCATCACCACTGTGACATACAAAGGTGACACAATCATGTATGCTCTTTCTCTTTAGGGACAAGAAAAACAGTAAGAGTTGATGGGAAGATAAATAGAAATAAATAGACAAATTTAGGGGGAGAAAGAAACTATTTCTATTGGCTGCAGAAGGATCCTGACACTACATCCACAGTAGAATTGGTGAAATAACAAAAATGGCATATGGATGTGCAAATCCAATAAAGACCCACCCAAAAAATAGTTAAGCTGTAACTTTATGGACCTTAGTTCCGAGACAGGATGAACATTTTAAACTTTCACTTTAGACTTGCTCAGTCATTTTAAACTCAATATGGTACAATGAGGTTTGTGGTTGTAATGCAACAAACAGCGGGCTTAAACCAACTAGGACATTTCCAAATATTAGCAATATTAGCATAGTCCTAGTTTTGAGGTATTTACAAAAAAAAAAAAAAAAAACAGGCCTTAAACTATATATTTATTTCATTTGTGGACCAGAGTGCAATGCCTGTTTAAGGACTTTAATTTAACACAGTGCATCTTATATCAATTATTAATGCAACATCTTTCTGGAACTCATGCTGTGAATGTTTTTTTGCATTACTGTAAGAAATCATTTAGAAGGCCACTGCACCCGGTCCACAAATCTTTGAGTGCTTCAGGCAATGTAGGCAGGATGTGTTGCTGAAGAAGTAAGAGCCATGTTATTGATCTGCGACATCTTAGCGTGCCCCGTGCACAGGATTGTTGCTGTGGGTACCTCTGCTTGCGGCCAGCATGAATCCGGAAGAGACCTCGCTTTTTAGAAAGGAGCTGACTGGGGAGACACACAAGGCAGAGGGAAAGACGGTGAGGGGTGGAAAGGGGGTGGTGGAAGTGAGGGTAGAGGAGGTCCTTGGATGCAATTTGGGTACCCAATAAACCCATGAGGACAAGGTGTAGCAAAGAGAAAACATAGAGAAAGGGACGGAGAAGTTTCGATCTAGAGATCAGACACTTAAATGATTCCCCTTGGCTGATCAATAAAGCAACTAAATAGTACCAGGTTGGAGATTGACCCGAGGACTTTAAGAAGAATACTTTCTACTTTTCTATGCTTGACTGACATATCTGCACTCATTCAGGCAGCAAGGATGAATGAGAACAATACTTTTAGCAGATAACAGTAAGGCTAAACAGGCTTGTCTGCTTTATCCTTTTAGTTTTTCTACGTCTGTCAGCTTTGTTAACATGTCAGATTTGGTAAAGGTTGCTATAATGCTAGCTCACTAACCATGTTCATAGTTATCATAAGCTGTTTAGCTATTTGATTAAATCATTTAGCATTTAATTTTAGAAAAATTACTTATGTAGTATGACCTCAAGAGCCAAGATTTAAAATAGGTCACAAATCTGTATTCAGTGTATCTCAAGGTGATTTCTTTCTCTCAATGGTCCAAATGGGCATTTTAAACTTAATAATTTGAAATAATTTTAGAGCAAAGAAAATATGCATCCTGAAGGAAACTTTTCGATTAGAAAGGGGTGATAAGAGTTATTTATAAAACAAATAAAATGATGCCAAATAGCAGTTAAGGGTTTCCCCGCTAAGTATAGCCATCACGTGTGACAACAGGACCTCAAATGACAAATCTTATCAAATAATTCATTAGTCAAATACCTTGCCGTGCTTCCTTCATCCAGAGGCCTGCAAATACCTTTTAATACTTTAGAGTTGATCGAAATGTATCCCAACCAATAAGCTTTAACTAATAATACCATTTAGTTTACAAGGCCAGCTCATGGCGTGAAGAACAAACCTGCATGGAACTTCTGCCTTCCTGAGAACAGATGGAGGATGGATGCCATGAAAAGGACAGAATGGACATAAGGGAAAGAAGGAGAGGAAGAGGAAACTGGTGAGTGAGGAGCGAGAGATGGCAGAGATGGCCAAGGTATGAGCTTTGCAGACAAAGACGGTAAAAAGCAGAAGGGCCTGAAACACAGTGAACTCAAATTAGTATAGGACGGTTAGTGGAACCACACCTCCATGCATTTTGCTTTTAGACAGTCCTAAAATAACTTGTGCCTGATGATCAGTGTGACTGTTGAGAGATTTGCCACCTATTTGGATGAACTTTAGGGCTGTAAGAGGTGGTGAGGTGCCTACCTGTCCCTCGACAAATAGGGGGAGCTGTAGGGCCGGAGCCCAGACAGCAGCGTGTGGTAGGAGTTCTGCAGAACCTTCTTGGTGCTACGTTGTCGCTGGAGGTGACTGAACAGTAGCGTCAGTTCCCTGACAGCCACGTACAAAAATGAACAAAAAACAAAACACATGACAAATAAAAATGAAAAAAACAAAAACAAATGGAAAGCCACAAAAAGGCCAACTCAGTGGTCCAAAACACTTAAAAGAAGAGGGATACATGATAGAAAGTATATGTATGCAGGGTCCAAAACGTACTCTCTTTTCTCATCAAGAAGGAAAATTAAAAAGGTTTAAAGGGAAATTATTTCTTTTGGTTGGAGGTTTCTCCTTCTTGGATGTGCTTCTTTCTTAAATTACCAAAAGTCCTATATGGAGTGGGGTAGTATGATTTAATTCACCAACATCAAACCGTGTAATATTAACAGAGAATAAACTATACATATATTACACCAGACATATATATTACCTTGATCTGGTGGTTTATTAATATATTGTTCTAGCTTTTGCAGTAAAGCATAATTTCTATTTTTGTTCATTTGTCTTTTGAGAAAGTTTATTTTGAGCCCTGAACACAAAGGCTACTCCGACTTTCATCAGGGAGACATTTTCCTTTGGATGAACTTTTCTAATTTTACCCTCCTTTTAAGCAAATCAAAATTAGTCAAATTAATACATAAAAAATACTTTACATGAAAAGTACAAAGGAATATTATGGCCACCTCGAGAGAAAAATATTAATTTTGCTACTGAAAAAATTATGTCAAACTTTAAGAAGAATGTTGAAATACAGAAAATTTATTTGAAGGTTTTAGAAGCAGTTGTGAAAATGTGTGGGTTTTTTCTCCTTTGTTTCTTGTCGTGAAGCAAAAAACACTGTTTAAGTCATAAAATTAAAATCTGCCAATTAACAGAAAAGCGTGGCATTCCTGTCAACTTTAACTTTAGTCTATCTACTTTGTGTCATTCATGTAATTCAAATTCGAGATTTTAAATAAATCTAGAGAACGTCCTAAATATATTTAGTATTTCATGCACAATGTGACGCATCAAAATATGTTCGTTTTTTTAAAACGAAACCCTGCACAATACGCCATCAAAATGATTCAGTGGAATTAAAGCCTTTCCTTTTGAATTCAACCACGTAGAACTCAACAGCTGTATAATTTATACGTTCTCCCTTTTTCCATTGGCAGTACTTCAAACTCCTGTTTTTAAAGGCAAATAACCATCAGATGGAAGGTTAAAATTTGCATTTTGGGTTGTTTAGGCCCATGCTCCTTTCCTCTGAGTAATTAGAGTTTATGTGTTTAGATAGACTAGGGTTAGCCCAATCACAAACAAAGTTAGGCCCACAATTCAACCTGTGACAGATTTAGAGTTAAATGTAAATAAAAATATTTAAGGTAATTTTCAATCCAAGGAGTTTGTTTCTAATTGGAGATGGTCCTTTTAAAATAAGCTTAATTCAAGTCCAAAAGGGCTTCATACATATTTATTTACTCAGTAACTTATTTCTGTTCTACATAAGGATATTTTTCCCTTCACAAATACCTGATGGCATCATGAGAGTAATCATTATAGAAAGACTGGTTCCAATAAATTTAATCAAATCAGTATATATTTTTTTTAAATATCATATATATCTCAACAGTTCTGTTAGATTATAAACATTTATCAAGACAGTCCCAATTATGATTAGTTTGGGTTACTGGAACTCCTCATATGAAACAATCAATATAAGGAACAAAAAATGAATGATTACACTTTTCACCTGTAGTGTCTCCTCCTATCTTCATTTTCTTCCTCCCTACATTTAGAAGACAACAGCTACTGGATATCAACAATAGAAGTTTCAATTCACTGGGACATACAGTGTTCAGGAGGAATCTTTTTGTGGACAGTTAATTTGATATGTGTATATAAAAATAACCCACGTAATACTTTGCAGTTTGATCCAAGAATATGTCTCTTATTCAAATAATGCAAATTTCAGGACAAATTTGTTGCACCTAAAAACTTGCATTTTTGGCTTTAATGTAAAAAGTTAGCTCACCAACAAGCTTTCATTCTTTCTATCAAAATAGAAGAAATGCCAGATATTTTAGGTGTTTTTTTATTTTTTTTTTATTGCTACGTTAAACATGAAAAAGCAAAAAATGCTTATTAAAATAAAAGATGGCAAATTAAAATAATGCTTCAAAACTCAAAGTAACTAAATAACAATGGTAAAAATGTGTAATTAAATCTGTGTTATGTATCTCACCCTGATCCCAACTTAACTGAAGACGGTTATAATAACAAAATGCTGCTTTATAACACGTAATTGAGAATAAAATCAAATCCAACTTTTTAATATTTCCTCTTAGCCTTTTGGGAGATTGTGAATCTCTTAATGCCAGTGTTTTATACAAAAGTACAACCGCAGGTTTCTGGGTTTTGTTGAGTCAGCTCACTGCAGACCAAGAGGCCCGATGACAACACCTACCTGAAGGAAGGTAACATGCTGTCGTAGAAATACCATGTTGCTGTTAGATACGAGTGTTTTGCATCTGTTGAATAGAGACGCCATGCAGCCTAGAGGGAGAAAGAACTAAAGTCAACACTGCCCAAATAATTATGGATATATAATTAAGGATACATATTACCTGTATGAGATTTGCAGCAGGCATCCTCCTTTTCTCAAAGTGCTTCTGCCGGTGCTGCTCTTGAACCTTCAAGGCAAAGCCTGAGCCTAAGATTCCCTAAAGAGAAAAAAAAAGAAAAAGCCGGTTTCGATCATTATTCTTTTGTAAAAGAAAGCACCATGCTCAGATATTTGTACATACAGCAAACTTACAGCAGGTAGGGCAAAAAAGGAGACACCCAGAAGGGCAAAGCCAGCAGCCAGAAGCCGGCCCTGCCATGTACGTGGAGTCTTGTCACCGTAACCAATTGTGGTCAAAGTTATCTGAATGTGTGAAGAAATCCAGGTCTCAAACACAAGCTACAGCAATGTGTTAATTATACAGTCTTACTACTCTATGACATGTGATTATTTTTCCCCATAACATCTCTAATTTTGCTTTTCAGCCACAATTTCTTTTATTCTCTTGCAAAATAGAAAAAAAAGTGAGATTTCTGATTGTATACAACCCAATTTCCTCCTATACCCCTGAATTAAATCTATCATAGCCTTCAGAAAACCCCTAATCAATGAAAAGTATACCTGGTGGTGATGTCACCTGAGAAGAGATCAAACTGTTTGCTTTTGGTCTTACATTTAAAAAACATGAGGCATACTGTAGCAGACAGGTAAGGAACAAAGACGTGGATTTTAGTGCCAGGATAGGCTATGAAGTTAGATTCCTGTCTTTGAATTGATCACACCAACCCCATGGTGAAATGGTGGCAGCATAATGCTGTGGGGAAGCTGGTCAGGCTAATAGTGAAAGAATAGTCAACACTGAATCTTCTCCTGCTAGCATGAAAATGAACCTATATTAGGGCTAGAGCTCCAATTGCACATCCTAGATCAAAGCCTGATTATGTCATAAAGTGGGTGAGGGGAAGTCTAGACCAAATCTGATTTAAAATCTGTGACTTTAGAAATGCTGTTAATATGTTAAACCCTATCTAACATTAATTACTGTTTTGAGTAAGAATCAGCTGAAAGTATTTTCTTTACGTGTAAAAAGATTGAAAAAAAAAAAAAAACATAGCAAGCACCTCTACTAAGCATTGCTGCAATGGACAGGATAAAAATTTGGGTCAAACCTTTTAGATTTATTATTTTTAGGAAAGTTATAGATGCTTCATGTTTATCTATCATGTAAAATCCTAATAAAACAATCAAAGGTTTGTTGATGGAACATCAAAATTGCCATCACGATTTATAAATAAAGCAAAGCAGTAATTAATAACATATACTAAAGCTACCTTGCATAAACAATAAGCATCATTACCCTGTACCACCTTAATATAGTTTATGATTAAATCACCTATAATTAGAGTTTAAGGAATTTTTTTGTGCAACTTCTAGTTTTATGTTTAAGAAAATGCCCTAAATACCCTATAATCATTCAATGTAATACAAAGTCTATAGAAAATGCATTCACCATTAGTCCAAAAGAGAATGACAAGTGTTTGGACAGGAAAAGAACCTGCAAAGTTGGTGTATTTTGCAGTACTTACAGTTCCCCACCAGAGGGAGTCTGCATAGGTGACAAAATCTGAGTTGATGTCTTTTTCAGCCAGGTAGACAAGGAAAGAAGCAAATATCAGCACCAGGAAACCTATGTACCAGGCTGTAATCAGCTCCTGTCAGACACAGAAAGGACATGGATCACACCAGCTAGCAGCAGCATATTTACCATCCAAATCCCTGCTGTCATTAGTGGCTATGTTCACCACATGATTGCTTTTGGCTTGCACTTTAACATGGTTGCATCATTGCATTTGGAAAGGTTTTTTTTTTGTTTTTTTTTTAGCAGTTAATCATCCTCATTGTAGCTCACAACATAATGCTGACAGTATAGTGTATGCATCACTTTAGTCAGCGAAGGAAGTACCCCAGAGCAAGTAGCTCCAAGTAAGATGCATGTTTTAAGACAGGGAGAATCAATTACCAGGTAATCCTCAGTTAGCTTCAAGACATCCCACCCAAGTGGGATGCTTAATACAACCTTTTATTCCTCTAATATATTTTAAAGAGTTATTATTTAGCAGAAAAAACAAAGCAGTTTTTCTTTTCCACCTTGCTGTGAGCATAAACGACGGAGCCAAGAAGTTTCCAGGTGCCTCCTCGTCGGTCCATACGAACCATACGCAGGATCTGCAGGAAACGCATGCTGCGCAGGGCTGACGTGGCGAAGATGTTGCCCTGCGTCCCTGCAGCAATTACTGCTAGTGACGCCACAAAAACGATGAAGTCTGCAGGGAACCAGGCAGACGGACACAGAAAGAAGGGAAAAGGTCACATTGAGATGATGTTTACAAATGTTGTCCACAGAAACGGAGAGAACTATTGGCTTTGATTAACTATTCACACACAGACTCTCACCTATGACACAGAAGGGCTTCCTGGCAAATCTCAGGCGTCCCTGCCATCCCCGGTATCTGCAACAACAGCCAGCGGCCCAGATCCTGATGAAGTACTCCAAGCCAAACACTACGATCATTACAAACTCCTGTAAATCACATACAAAAAAAAAATATTTTGCAATCTATATCCATGCTTCACAAACATAACTTTTTCACTTTTTTTAACATCTAGTTAACATCCATGAGAAAATGACACATTCGCTGTTTTTTTTGTTTTTTTGTAATTGCATTCTTTATGCTTGTTCTTACATTGCAGGTAAGTCTTTGTATTTACAGCAAACACATGTTTAGCATTTTAACAAGCAACACTTAAATATGAAATCAGGCTGGTCACCCTTTCTACCTTCTTATAGGAAGCAAAAAAGTTTCCCATCTCTCCTTCAATGAACATAAATTACAGAAAAGATCAAACAATATTGTGTGAAAACGGGGGTCTTGGCTGCTGTTGTTGAAGCTGACCAATCAAAACAGACTGGGCCTTTCTAAGAGGAAGCTAACCCCTTAGGGACTTTAAAGGAAACATGGTGATTGAAAGATCTAAAAAGTTATGTTATAGCACTGGTGCTGTAAAAGCTTAGTTGCTGTAAAGCTGGTGCTATAGGTTTTTTTCTTCATCAGTAGTTGTATCATGTTTTAAAAGTTCAGTGTTCTATACATGCTCATAACTGCCTTCGAGCAATTAGATTATTATAATGATAAAACAAATTATACAGATAGATAAATCCCCAAGTGTTCCTCGTGTCGAGGTGAGTTAGCTTTCAGAAGCGTAGACCAATAAACTGCATATTGTAGCATCAGATTAAGAAATATTAAAATAAGGTAAAACATTTGAGCAATAAAGGCAACTATATGCAGCCAATATTTATCTCAATTGATGTGTTGTGATATAAACAAACAATTACAACTAACAAACTAACTGTTGATTATTTTTCGATTAATCAATTAATAATTCGATAGCCAAAGGTTCCTAAAAGGAGATTTTTGTTCTGGATAGTGCATATTTATAGACAGAAGTTTTTTATTTTTTTTTTACAATTTTGGTAAAATTGCACCTCAAGGTTGGTCACTCTGTCAGCTGAAAACATGTTTTAGTAATTCAACAATTATTTCAATAATCAATTAATCACAATTAATCTGATTTACTGTCACAAAAGATATCTATATATCTATATTTATATATATATATCTATATTTATATATATATATATCTATATAGATATATATCTATCTATATATATATATCTATATCTATATCTCTATATTTATATATATATATATATTTCTTTTTTTTCTTTTCTTTTTAAATATATATATTAGAGGGCTGTATTTTTGTACTTTATGGTATTATTTTGTGTTAAATAGGCCAGAAGAAGGTTTCTTGTAGGGCAGAGCTCCAGTATCTAGCCATTGGCATGTTGCTCAATTGCTGTTATTTCATTTGACAAGTTTAAATGATGTGCATTATTTGTAATGTCTATTTAAATAAAAGAAGTGGGGATATTCTCTGCGCTCTCCTGCCACACCAATGGGGTGTTGCTCTGTTGTTGGTCATCCCGTTTATTAGGTCATCAATGTCAGCAGTCCGCTAGCTGTAAAACTAAAACAAAGTCATTATTTGGCAGGAGCTACACCAACAGAATAGTCAGGTAATATATTTATTGACCAGCATTGAGTAATATCAAGATTTTGAAAATAATTTTGGCTTCAAAATTATGTTACACTGTGCCTGTGGGTCCATAAAAATGCTAGAACGATTGTAACTGTATGAAGCATTTTACGTTGGGCAAATGCAGCTCTATCCCTCCCCTGCATGTCAGTGTGCACTGTGTGACAGCTGGCTAAAACACAATTCCTAATGCTTAAAACACAATCAGATTTGGCTGTTTGGAAATACTTTAAGCAGGAAGCTCCAATTAGGCAACATTTTTATACAACTACATCAATGAAGATACAAGCAGTATTTCTGTAAAGTTGGATCTGCAAGTTTGCTTCACAAACAGAAGCACAGGTATAAAATTATCTGAATACTTACTTCAATGCTACTGTACCTTTAAATTTTGCAGTGTTTTATTCTAGATTAATGCTAAACCCAATGTATAAAATCTAGATAATATTCTAGTACTTGACTCCCACAAAGAGTAGTTGTGTTTTTCTCTTTTCAAATACAAAGGTATTACATTATGCCCTGTATGTATCTTAAATGTATGTATCAAATATTTTCTGAGTACCAATAAATCTTTTTCATTTAAGGTTACTGTACCAAAGCATATCTTCTATGCTTACGCAGATTAAGACTTTAAAAATCCTACATACACCCTTACACAGTTCGAAAATATTCAATTAGAGGAATTGAAATGGTTATTTATAATAAATGAGAACAAAATGTAATTCGCAGCTTTGTGTTTGTTTACATTTGTTATTGTAGATTTATGGGTTGCCCATACCAAAATGCCATCTGATCAAATGAAGGCTACAGTGTAGGTTAAGTCCACTGAAGGCAAATTGGCTGCTAATGGCCCAGGTGATTGATGGACAGAGTAAACTGAATGAAAGTGAAAGTCAGGAACATTGCTGTTAAAAGACACATAATGATGAGTAAGGTAGGAGAAGAGAAGAGAGGAGGTGGATGAGTCAGGTTTGGAAGGAAAAGCGAGCATCCATTAGTTTTCACTAAAGCAGCTAAATGACAGAAGAAGGGATGCGATTAAGGGATGGCTTTTAGGATTAGTGCATCATGTCTGTGATTTCCTGCAAAGTCAACATCACCTGAATCCTCTCAACTGCTTACACAAGTGCCTCTACGATCAAACCACACAGTACACATACAGGTGCTGGTCATAAAATTAGAATATCATGAAAAAGTAGATTGATTTCAGTAATTCCATTTAAAAAGTGAAACTTGTATATTATATTCATACATTACATACAAACTCATATATTTCAGATGTTTATTTTGTTTAATTTTGATGATTACAAATGACAACAAATGAAAATCTCAAATTCATCATATCAGAAAATTAGAATATTACTGAAGACCAATAAAAACAAAGGATTTATAGAAATGTTGGCCAACTGAAAAGTATGAACACGAAAAGTATGAGCATGTACAGCACTCAGTATTTAGTTGGGCCTCCTTTGGCCTGTATTACTGCAGCAATGCGGCGTGGCATGGAGTCGATCAGTCTGTGGCACTGCTCAGGTGTTATGATAGCCCAGGTTGCTCTAATAGTGGCTTTTAGCTCTTCTGAATTGTTGGGTCTGGTGTATTGCATCTTCTTCTTCACAATACCCCATAGATTTTCTATGGGGTTAAGGTCAGGAGAGTTTGCTGGCCAATTAAGAACAGGGATACCATGGTCCTTCAACCAGGTACTGGTAGCTTTGGCACTGTGTGCAGGTGCCAAGTCCTGTTGGAAAATGAAATCTGCATCTCCAAAAAGTTGGTCAGCTGCAGGAAGCATGAAGTGCTCTAAAACTTCCTGGTATGTGGCTGCGTTGACCCTGGACCTCAGAAAACACAATGGACCAACACCAGCAGATGACATGGCACCCCAAACCATCACTGACTGTGGAAACTTTACACTGGACTTCAAGCAACGTGGATGAAGTGCCTCTCTTCTTTTCCTCCAGACTCTGGGACCTTGATTTCCAAAGGAAATGCAAAATTTACTTTCATCAGAGAACATGACTTTGGACCACTCACCAGCAGTCCAGTCCTGTTTCTCTTTAGCCCAGGCAAGACGCTTCTGACGCTGTCTGTGGTTCAAGAGTGGCTTGACACAAGGAATGCGACAGCAGAAACCCATGTCTTTCATACGTCTGTGTGTGGTGGTTCTTGAAGCACTCACTCCAGCTGCAGTCCACTCTTTGTGAATCTCCCCCACATTTTTGAATGGGTTTTGTTTCACAATCCTCTCCAGGGTGCGGTTATCTCTCTTGCTTGTACACTTTTTTCGACCACATCTTTTCCTTCCCTTCGCCTCTCTATTAATGTGCTTGGACACTGAGCTCTGTGAACAGCCAGCCTCTTTAGCGATGACCTTTTGTGTCTTGCCCTCCTTGTGCAAGGTGTCGATGGTCGTCTTTTGGACAACTGTCAAGTCAGCAGTCTTCCCCATGATTGTGTAGCCTATAGAACTAGACTGAAAGACCATTTAAAGGCTTTTGCAGGTGGTTTGAGTTAATTAGCTGATTAGAGTGTGGCACCAGGGGCCATCAATTTTGAACCTTTTCACAATATTCTAATTTTCTGATATGATGAATTTGAGATTTTCATTTGTTGTCATTTGTAATCATCAAAATTAAACAAAATAAACATCTGAAATATATGAGTTTGTATGTAATGTATGAATATAATATACAAGTTTCACTTTTTAAATGGAATTACTGAAATCAATCTACTTTTTCATGATATTCTAATTTTATGACCAGCACCTGTATGTTTACAAAGGAGTAAGTGAGACCATGAAAATGTGTGCTAATAAATTTCAACTGTATGTGTCAAAAGAGTTAAATACGGGGTCTTACCAGGATAAAGAGGCCTTGGTTGGCCATCTTTTGGTGTTCGGGGATGGTTGAGAACACTGACAACACCAAGCAGCTGAAGACTAGAAGAAAACTGAAACACACATTTTTTTTTTGTTAATGAAGCAGCTGCTGATTTTATACCTGAAATTTTCAGCACCTATTTTTGTTTTAGATATGCAGCAGAAACACATTTTGAATTGACATTCAAATATTACAGAAAACCAGATACAAGCACAATAAAACATATAAAATTGTGCAGGCCTTACTGACAGTGTGACTGACAATCATAAAACAAACCAGAACATATACATATATATACACATATATATATACACATATATATATATACACATATATATATATACACATATATATATATACACATATACACATATATATATACACATATATACAGAGATGGCAAAAGTACTCACTTTCCGTACTTGAGTAAAAGTACAGATACTTGTGTTAAAAAATACTCTGGTAAAAGTGGAAGTACTGATTAAACTTCTTTACTCAAGTAAAAGTAACAAAGTACAGGCTTGTAAATTTACTTAAAGTATAAAAGTAAAAGTAGAAACCACTTTTTTCATGCCGTTGCCTACATTTTAAATGGATGTCTGAAAATGAACGCAAAGGAGATCTAGTCCTATTGGCAATCATCTCGTCGTCCATGCTACTATGCTAACGCCACCAAGCTGCAATGATTTGCCGCGAATGAATACTGCCGAATCTGTCGATTCATCTTGTAGTGGTGCGTCAAATGCAACGTAGATTCCCATCCAATTAGATTGAATTTGGTATTGATGACGTGAAAAATAATAACGGTAACTCCATTGAAATGATTCAAAACTAAAGTAACGAGCCAATTTTTTAAAATGTAAGGAGTAGAAAGTACAGATATTTGTGTAAAAATGTAAGGAGTAGAAGTAAAAAGTCGCCATAAAAATAAGTAGTAAAGTAAAGTAAAAATATCAGAAAAATCTACTTGAGTACAGTAACGAAGTATTTGTACTTCGTTACTTCCCATCTCTGCATATATATATATATTAGTGCTGTCAAAATTATCGCGTTATTAACGCGTTAACGCGAGGCCATTTTAACTGCGATAATTTTTTTAACGTGAGATTAACGCTATGTGGTTTTATGGTACAATTTTCCAAGTACATCCCGCTGCAGCCTGCGGGGAGGCGGGGCTATTTCCCCCCAGTGTATGCATTTATCATAGGCTTCGAGAGCGGAGCTCCTCAAGGGAAAAAGACGCTCATACACTGGGTGACGCTAGTGCCTTTTCTTTAAGCCCCACCACCAACAAACAAGTTGAGTGTCTGGTAACTAGTAGCAACCTGAAATACGGTGAGAAAACTGATTACTGAGGTGAAATGGAATCTCGTAGCAGCACTCTTGCCGTCTGTGTACGCCACAGGTCGGTATCGTGTGTGTGTGGGTGGGTGTGTCTGTGTGTTTGTGGGTGGGTGGGTGTGTGTTCTCATTTTTGTTAAGAGGCTGAAAAGTAACTTTCTAGAGCATAGACGACCTCCATCTAGTGATGTCTGTCTATTGATTTTGATGTATTGATTGAAAATTGTTCATTATTACCTTGGTTAATTAACATCTAATGTTAACTCTACTAAATTTTATAGCAGTAGGGTAAAATGCTTGTCTTTGTTCAAAAGACTGTATTAACTGTAAAGACTGTCTTTTACATCAGCCTGTTTTCAGGGCCTTTTTTTTTTGGCTACATATTTGTTATTTTTTGCTACATGCCTCCCCATCTTCTTGCCATATGTTTCTATGGCATAAATCAGTATCTGTGACCTGTTTTCATTTTAAAAAAAGAACATTGGCACAAACCTAGCCTGTATGTACTTTTTTGTATGTCATCGAGAGTATTTAAATGATTTTCAATCAGGAAAAAAATGTGCGATTAAAATGCGATTAATCGCGAGTTAACTAAGGCATTGATGCGATTAATCGCGATTAAAAAATTTAATCGATTGACAGCACTAATATATATACACATATATATATATGCACATATATATACACATATATATATATGCACATATATATATATATACATATATATATATATATACATATATACACATATATATATATATACACATATATATATATACATATATATATATACATATATACATATATATATATACATATATACACACATATATATATACACATATATATATATATACACATATATATATATACACATATATATACACATATATATACATACACATATATATATATACACACACACATATATATATACATACACACATATATATACACATACACACATATATATACACATACACATATATACACACACACACACACATATATATATATATATATATATATATATATATATATATATATATATATATATATATATATATATATATATATATATATATCAGCTTATACAATATAAAACAAATATGCTATATACAATATATAGTATATAGCCATATACACAGTCAGATGTGCGTTACAAAAAAAAAAAAGATGAAGATGTCTTGAGAGCTGTACTGAACAAATTTTTTTTTTTTGTATACACTCTGTGTACAAAATGATAAAGTCTGTCTAATTTTAAGTCTAATGTAACATAGGAGGTCTGGAGATGCTTCGTTGGTGTTGCTTCTAGGTCCTGAATGAGGGAGGGAGAGAGGCAGTGTCACGTGGGTCCCTGGGCCTTGTTGATAAGGCTGGTAGCGGATGGGAAGAAACTGTTCTTGTGGTTTGAGGTTTTGTTTATGATGGGCCGCAGCCTCCTGCCAGAGGGAAGTATCTGAAATAGTGTGTGGTTGGGGTGCGAGGGATCAGCCACAATCTTCCCTGCACGCCTCAGAGTCCTGGAGGTGTACAGATCCTGGAGAGATGGAAGATTGCACCAAATCAACTTCTCTGCAGACCAGATGACACGCTGCAGTCTGCCCTTGTCCTTGGCGGTGGCAGCAGCGTACCAGATGACAATGGAGGAGGTGAGGATGGACTTACTGATGGAGTAGTAGAAGTGCACCATCATTGTCCTTGTCAGGTTGAATTCTTTCAGCTGCCGCAGGAAGTACATCCTCTGCTGGGCTTTATTTGTGAGGGAGTTGATGTCCATCTCCCACTTTAGGTCATGTGAGATGATAGTTCCCATGAAGCGGAACGACTTCACAGTGTCAATTGTGGAGTCACAGAGGGTGATGGGGATATGTGGGGCTGAATTCTTCCTGAAGTCCACAACCACCTAAACTGTTTTTAGGGTTTTGAGCTCCAAGTTGTTCTCCTTCATAATCACAGAAAAATCTGTTTGTATGTTGAACTCCTTTTGGATGAAAGTTCCAATTTTGCAGTGGTGTCTGTTTACCACTGATTCTGATGAATAAATAATACCTTCTCACTGAGCATCATATTTTTTCAGAAATTGAACTTAATTAGTTCATATACTGAAGTGGGTAAACTAGTATAATTTATTTGAATATTTTTGTGTAAAATAATTTTTAGTAGTCATTTGACTGCACAATTGTTTTTCATCTCCAAGTACATTTATTTTAAAGTATTGCTTCTATTCTACTCTACTCACCTCTGTTAATGATAATGACGGTGCTTGTTTGGTGGGCTACATGGATGCAAATAAATTCAGTAGATTGTCTGAATTTAGGGGCCAAACTGCTTTTATTATTTTAGTTAGTGCTCTGTAAAAGTATGAGATGGTGTCATTGCATCTTAAAGCGTTAAAAATAGGTATCTATGTACAAACTGTCATTTTTAAGAAGGTGAAAATCCGCTTGGACAAAATCACTATCCCACTTCAGCTTGAGTGCTACAATGAAATAAAACACCATAAATTGTGAATAACGGGGCTTTGTGTATAGGCTGCTATCATGCTGGTATAAACAGTTCATTTTTCCCCAAAGTTTTTTCAGACAGAAGTTTTAGCTTGGCAATTATTTCATTCAGCAAAACATTACTGCTGAGAAGAAAAGTTAAGAATGAATCACTATAAACTTGTGGGAGAAAAATGTATTCTGTTAAAAATATTTTAGTTTAATTTAGATAAACTGAAATTTGAAATTACAAAACAGGAAAACACTTTTTCAGTGACTACATTTTAGAGGAAGTGCCTACCAAATTTGTTAAATATTAAGATAATATGAAGAGGCTTATCATATATTAGACTACAACAGTAATTGTTTTCCATTTTCATTATACCTGCTCTCTACCGCATAGTTCCTTGCCTTTCTATGATCTGTATTTTTTTAGATTCTTTTTCATCATTCATATTGGCTGCACTGTTTTTAGCTTATTGAAGACATTAAAATAACGTAAATTGATATATCCAAAAGAACTTAGTGGAAAAAGGTAGGCAACAACCTAATTTTCAAAAGAAGAAATTTTTCTGTTTATATTAGCCAACGTGTTGAGTTGAATATTGTTTTTTCTTCCAAACAAGTAGTAATATTTGGTCAAAAATATAACAGACAGTATAGGTGATAAAGTATAATGAAATTGAAAGTTTGATGTATTATGTGCCAGTATTCCAATACATTTAAATCCATTTAAGCTTTTCTCTTAAGATCATAATAGAGGTACCAAAAGGGAGAACACTTTTATTTTGTCTATATGTATTTTATATGGTGCTGCTTGGTATTTTATGCCTCTTATTGTACAGCCCTTTGTGACGCTCGTATGAGAAAGGTGCGATATAAATAAACATTACTTACTGTTGTTTTATTTGTTTTAGTCAAACAAAGTAGCCTCATTAGACCGCTCATCCAAATTCAATGAGCTGTACAGGACCTGGATGTATACTAAATGCTATATACAGCACCCTTCAGTATTGCAAATTGGAAAACATTTGAATTTGAAACTAAATCAGCTGTTACAGAGACTTGGAGACCTAAAATGCCCCCTTTGCTGAGGTTCTTCGCCATCTTTCTCAATGTGAAAAGTGGCTACACAATCTCTGGTCTTCATTTAATTCATTGAGTTTATTTATATAGCCCCAATTCACAACCCGTCATCTCAAGGCACTTTAAAGAGACAATTCAACCAGATTGTACAGTAAGA